TACAGTCCTTACACTGTATGTTGTAGATGACTCCTGTTTTTTCTTCTTGGGCAAAACTCCTTAACTTAACCCTAACCCTACTCTATAAGCATCTGTTGCCTTAAGGCAGCTGGCACACTCTGCCCAGTGATAGAGCCAGCCCTGGGTGGGGAGAGACGGAGATAGGATTTTGCACATCCTGCATTATGCAACCTCTACCAAATGTCAAATATGGGAATGTTTAGCATTCTAGCACTGAAGATGTTACCTAGCCAGGTAATGAAACGTTTGCAAGAAAACAACCAAGCTCAGAGAACCCCAGGGACTCCACAGTTCAGCCCTGAGCTACACATATTCGCTACCTAGCCAGGTAATGAAACGTTTGCAAGAAAACAACCAAGCTCAGAGAACCCCAGGGACTCCACAGTTCAGCCCTGAGCTACACATATTCGCTTCTATTGGTATACACTATGAGTCAATGCCTGGAGTCAGGGTTTCAACACTTACAGTAGTAATCTTTCCCCACCTAATCTCTCTTCCATCTGCAACCCACTCCCATTTTCTCTTGCCCCCCTCAAAGGCAGCTGTAATATTTAAAATAATGCTACAGCAGGTTTTTTGCTCCCACTGTGAAAATGGCTTTCTTTAATTTTGATGATTCAGATACATTCAATCAGGGCTGACTGGTATTCATGGCATTCCCCCCCCCCCCCCCCCACAAGGTCCACAGCACAAAGATGTTGATTTCTTTTTGTGCTCACCTTTGGCCTTTAAAAAAAGAAACCCACTTTGAGACTTGCAGTGACAAGTCTTAGGGCCTTTCCCCACTTAATCACAGCACATACAAGCCCTGGCAACATCGTTTTTCTTCTGTGTCCCCATGATATTGCTATCAGTGAGACCATCTTAAGTCAGCTGTAGCCATATAGGGCTGAAGTTGTATTTTCCCCCTAATTTTGAGACTGTCCCAGGGCAGCCTCAAGATGAATGGAATCTGTTAAGCTTTTCCACCCGTGACCCTGGAGAGAAGTCTTGGGAGTGCAGTGACTGGGGAGAGAGGCACCAGCAGGACAGGGAGTGGCAGTAGGCGCAACATGTTTCCCACTGGAATCATCTTCTGCCACTTCAAGGATAGAGGAAGAGCACTTTCACTCTCCAGTGGGGAAGGTCCCTAGGTGGTCTTGCAGCCAGACTATCAGCCAATGGACATTTTCCACAATTCATGTTTTCTGCAAACTTGCAGGAAGCAGTCTCTTCTCCTTCCCTTGAAGCTTTCGCCAAAGAGGAGGCATGATGTTTGCATCAAAGAGAACGCTTCCAATCAGCACAGCTGCTTGGCAAAGGCTACATCTGTCTTCGCCCCTCCGTTCTCCCCCTACTCACGTATCTTACGACGGACACCCATGGTGGTGAAGCCCCATGCTGACCGTCGCATGTATCCCACGAAACACCAAAAAGCCTCTGTCTCGTTGTCCAGGGTCTCTAAGAAGCGGCTGGCAAAGTAAT